ACCATTCACATTGTGCACGGATTTAAAACATACGAAACTCGAGTTATACACAAGTATATCCTGCACACACACACACACACACACACACACACACACACACACACACGCGCACACACACAACACATACACAACCCACACACACAACACACACATATATATGTGTGTGTGTGTATGTGTATGTGTGTGTCTCTCTCTCGCTCTCTCTTTCTCTCTGTGTATATGTGCAATAATGGCATCCCAAATTTCCAGGAACCGGTTCTATAAAGGTAGGTAATCTTTAGGTACCTATTCTGCTTATTTTCTTTTCAATGGAAACAAATCACTTTAGAGTATCAAAAAGAATTAAGCCCCTTTGATAATTTAATAGAAAAAATTATTAAGACATTTCTAGATTGAAATTCTGTTCTCATTATATTTCTGTTCAGAAGTATGACGCTTTTTGACTCTAGTGTGTTATGGCTTCTTAGCCATATTCGAACTGAATCGCAGCCGTCCCAATGATCCAATGGAAGACCTATCAAATTTAGGACTAGATGATTTGCCACATTTTTAACTTCAAGACGATTTCTTTGTCAGAATAATTTACGTTCTTCACAGAAAACCATCTTTTAGCCCCCACAGAACATATAGCAATGATATTAATTATATATTTTTAGCTCTTTGGATAGTTTTGGTTACAACATGTTTATAGGAATTTCTCGTTACGTTTTCAACGTAATCACAAAAATCTATATTGTTGTGGTAGCGATCGTGTGTCATTAGGCCATTTTTCCTAAACCATCGGCTATTAATATATAAGATTATTTTCGGATATTCCAAGAATCGGTTCGCATATAATTTTATGAATCGGTTCGCGCGAACCGGTAGGATGCCACCACTGTGTGTATGCATATATAAGTATATAAGTATATATGGATGGATTCTCTCGTGATAAATGGATGAAGGTGAAGTAAATTTTCAGTAAACAACATTCAAAAGTGAATTGTTTAACGTAGTCAATTGTCTGCACTCTGCAATGTACTCTCTCTACATCATAGTACCATGTACTTTACTAGTGCGGTCTATATGACATGTCAGACTCTCTGAATAGGATTTCTCCATCTCTTAGCTGAATGCTAGCCGTTGGCTTCTATAAGAAGCTCATCTACCATTTGCCAAACATCTCACGGCTAGGGTGAATTCTGAGTTGACCTTCTTCTAGATTGGTTGCCAACCAACGTTATAGGGCCCGACATATCCTGCTGTTGACCCGAATTTAGGGGAAGAAGAAGAAATAGAGTCATATATAGATTTCCCAAGGGTATCTTTGCATGAGTTAGTGTAACGGACTCGACTAGAATTATATACAGGATGAAAAGTAACTCCCTATTTTATGTATGATGGACTCTCCCGTCTAACTATAATTTTTACAAGACGGGAGAGTCCATCATACATAAAACAGGGAGCTACTTTTCAATCACCCTGTCTACGCGTATAACTCTGAGTGGGTAGAGAAGGTTGAACGATCAGACCTTCTAGTCGGTGTCGATGAAAAAACATAAAAGAAATAGACCACTGGTGTTTTTGAGTGTTTATTAGTGATCGATATCACCAAGCGCCAAGTCTCAATATATCTATTTGAAATTTGGCTAGAAGCCAGGTTGAACATGAAATCCGAATAACTGCCTGAACTACTTGCCTTTCACCTGAAATAGTGATCGACCACTCTCATCTACACATACACTCCCCTTCTCTATTTTGCATTCTAGCGTATGCGCGTGCGCGTTCACACACACGGACACATACAGATTTCTGTATGAACGCATTTAAAAAATATAAATGTATGACGACCATGGCACGTACACAGACTTGAACGTGCACATTCCATCATATGTAGAAGGCCTGAATACAATAAAGGAAGCTCTTCTATTTTGTGTGCATGCAAAAAAAAAAAAAGTAAAGAAAAAAAGAAACATTACAGCCTACTTCTTGGAGATATTCAGCATCTTTTCTTCATCAAAGAAAATACACTCAACATCGTCGCTTTATATTTAATAAGCCAAATTTGATAGGGATTCATATGAGCTAAACTTAATGTATGTATGTATGTATGTATGTATGTATGTATGTATGTATGTATGTATGTCTGTACATTATGTATGTATGTATGCATGTATCTATCTATCTATCTATCTATGTCTGTACATTATCTATCTATATATTTTTTAAAACTATCTATTCTCTCTTAATGTTACTACTTAAAACTATCTATTCTCTCTTAATGTTTCTACGTATCCATGCAGGACGTGGGCAATCACCCCGCCACACACAAATTTTCTGTTCCTTGTTGCTTTCAGCAACCTTTGACTTTTTACCACCCCACTTGTGTCTCTGCTCTGCCATCCATCCATCCATTCAGTCACTCAGTCAGTCTTCTTTTTCTTTGTAACATTTCCTTTCAGGGTGTTAGCAATCATGGCTCCCCACAATTTTCTGTCCTTAGTAAGGTTTGTGCTTAACCCTTTTCTGTCAGTCATTTACACAACCTTGCTAGGTAGGTTATGCATTGTTTTCCTCTGTCCCTCTTGCCTTCAATCTGTCCTGTGAGTGTCTAAATTTTTTAAAGCCTTTTTTCCTCATTACCCTAGAAGTTTCAACTGTCTCATTCTGATATTAAGTATAAACCTACTTTTTGTTTTAATTTTCATTAAAACTTCGGCATTGGTCACATGTTCAATCTATAGTATCCTCATCATCCTTCTGTATAACCACATTTCTGTTGCTTCAAGTCTCTTCTTAATCTGTGAGGAGATTGTCCAGAAATCACTGCAATATTGAAGGACTGACATTATGTAACAGTTCAGTGCTCTTTTCTTTGTTCCTAACAAAATTTTCCTGTTTCTTAATACTTTGCTTAGATTTTGAAAGGCATAGTTCACTGTCCAAATGTACTTTTAAATTTTGGGGTTACACTTTTCATACACTGTTAAAACACTTCCAAAATACTTAAATTGTTGTACTTGATGATTTGGTTATCTTCAATTTTTAATTTGCATGTTGGACTTTTGTTTGTGAATATTTTGCTGAATTAATCAGCACAATTTTACTCCCAAAATATTTTATTAATGATCAGATAGTTATCATGACTGATGAATGTTATTATTCAATGTCGACACACTACAAACTATGACACACATCAGTAAACATAATGATAAATTTATATATGAACATGTTGCTGAGTGGGTAAAATGTTTGCTTTCTGATCATGCGGTCCAGGTTCAAATCTCACCATAAATCGTATTTTAATCATCCTTCTGCAGAACCACATTTCTGTTGCTTCATGTTTTCATCGGTGCGATTTCCCAGCATTCACTGATATATAGAATGACTGGTGTTACGTAACAGTTCAGTACTCTTACCTTCTTTTCTAATGAAATGTTCCTGTTTCTTAGCTTTTGGGTGGCAACTTTAGTTATCCCAATACACACTCGAGTTCCACACTTTCCGTTTCCTTTTAAGACACTTACCAAATATTTAGATTGTTGTACTTGCTTGATTTTGGTCTCTTCAATTTGTAATATGTATATTGGGCTGTTCCATTTTGCTACAACCATATATTCTGTCTTTTTAAAATTGATCATTAATCCTTTCTTCTCGCTTCTCTTCATTAACTTCTATAGAAGTTCTTGTACTTTCCTTTCTGTGTTTACTATAATCATTATGTAAACTGCATATCTAATATTTTTTAAGATTGTGACCGCCAATAACGAATCCTAATAGGACATCTAATTCTCTCAGAATTGCCTCGTTGTAGATGTTGAATAAATCCGGAGAAACGACACATCTTTCTCTTACACCTATTTTGCTGATTCTCTCTATCACTCTTGCCTTCTATATGACCTGTGAGTGTTAAAATTCCCAGGCCCTCAATCCTCAGAAAATGTCTCGGGATTTTCAAACCCCGCTTTATGATTTTAACTATAAGTGCCCTTGAAGTTCCTATTTTTCTCAAAAGTCGTTGTCCACGTATTCTGTCGATGTTATTTTCTGCAACGGAACATCTCCGTCGCTCCGAGTATTTTAAGGAAATTGTTTTTTTTTAATCTTTTGTAAGGAAATTGTCCAACTTTCGATGTCAGTGCTCCTTTTATTTTTTATTTTTTTTTTTACTAACGAAGATTTCCTCTATCCCAATATTTTACTTAGTTTCTGGAAAGCTTTTATCCCTATCCTCATGTGCCTTCGGATCTTTGTGTCATACTTTGCGTCGTCTGTTAACCCTAACTCTAAACATAACCCTAACCATAACCCTAACCATAACCCTAACCCTGCCGAGAGCCCAGATAATTAAATTTGTGTGTAATGTAAATTTTCTATACTTACTTCATCCTGATGTTTTGAATTCAGCGCTCACACCCTTGGTTGTCTCTGGCTGACGACTATACATTAGTCGTATTCCTTCTGAGTCTGCCATCAACATAATTTCATCTGTGCAACTTCAAGCAACAAAAATGTCGTTCTACAGAAGGACGCCGAGAATATCATTGACCGAAAATGTGAGCAACGACGATGTTTTACAGAAAATGAAAGCAAAACTGAATCTTATACTTAACATCAGAAAGAGAAAGTTGAAATTTCTAAGTCACATTAACGAAGAAAGAGGGCTTGGAAAATTTGATACTCACATAACAGATTGAAGGCCAAAGGGACAGAAAAACAACGCATTACCTACCTAGAGAGTTTGAAGAAATGGATCACGGAACAAGATTTAAGAGAGATAACAAAAAAAAAAAAAAAAGAATTACAAAATAAAGAAAATTGTGGAGAGCCATGATCGTCTACGTCCTGAAGCGACACGGCTCAAAGAAGAAGAAGAAGAAGAAGAAGAAGAAGAAGCTTTTGTTATTCAGATTATAGCTATCGACAGTAAATCCAAATACACTGTTTCATTTTATTACAATGGTCACTGAGATTATAGCTTAAGACTGATTCTAACTCCAACGTCTTAGGCTTACGCCACATCACGTTGAAATACAAGTTCTCATACGACCACCGAAGTTAAGCAACGTTGATCCTGGTCGGTATTTCGATGGGTGACCGCTTGGGAATAGTAGATGCTGTAATCTTAGGTGTGTGGTGATATAATGGCTCGGAATTTTTAATCGGAGCGACGTTGGGTTCGTTATATTCACTTACGTGCAAATGATCCTTGGGAAAGATATGAATGTACTTCTTCTCCCCTTCTATGGGTTAAATAGTAAGACTTGTATCCCGAAGCCACTATTATCACTAAAAACATTATTACAATCTAAAAATATTTCCTGGCTTTAAATAACCTGTAAAAGGTTGATAAAACAAATCACTAAATCAAATACTGATTACCTATACAGTCATGTCTTTTAGATTTACATACATTCTCTTGAATATAAATGTAGAGAAAACAATGTGTCCACAAATTGAAGGACCAGTTTATATATTCATTTTAATATAGAATTGATCCCCACTTCATATCCAAATATAATTTCTTGTTTGTTTATCAAATTTTGATTAGGTATAATTCCACGTCTGCTTCCCCCTAAATATGGGGTAATTAGTAAAACTTGTATCACTAAACCATTATTATCTGCAAAAAGAAATTCTTACAATCTAAAAATATTTCTTGGCTTTAAATATCCTGCAATGGGTTGATAAGCTGCAAAGGGTTGATATTTACAAATACTATTACAAACCAAATAATATTACAAAATAGTATTACAAATACTATTACGAACCAAAATAGTATTACAAATACTTGTACAAACGAAAATGGAATTACAAATACTATTACAAAACAAAATAGTATTAGAAATATTATTACAAAACAAAATAGTATTACAAATACTATTACAAACCAAAAGAGTATTACAAATACTATTACAAAATAGTATTACAAATACTATTACAAACCAATATAATATTACAAATACTATTACAAACCAAAATAGTATTACAAATATTATTACAAGCCAAAATAGTATTACAAATGCTATTACAAACCAAAATAGTGTTACAAATACTATTACAAAGTAGTATTACAAATCTTATTACAAACCAAAATAGTATTACAAATATTATTGCAAACCAAAATAGTATTACAAATGCTATTACAAATTAGTATTACAAATACTATTAAAAACCAAAATAGTATTAAAAATATTATTACAAACCAAAATAGTATTACAAATATTATTACAAACCAAATTAGTATTACAAATTCTATTACAAATTAGTATTACAAATACTATTAAAAACCAAAATAGTATTACAAATCTTATTACAAACCAAAATAGTATTACAAATACTATTACAAACCAAAATAGTATTACATCTACTATTACAAAATAGTATTACAAATACTATTACAAACCAAAATATAAAATATTACCTAAAAGTCCTGTTGATTTGAACAGGACACACGAACCGAATGTAGTATGGATTCTGGCAAGACCTCTTTTGTGCATTTCCATTTGTGAGTCAGCACACATGCTTACGAATAGGTTACCTCGAAAAAAGTAGGTATTAAGGTAAGCAATGGTTCTCATGGTCAAAATCCTGAACTTTAAATGTAGCACATTGTACATACCTAAAAATCAACTAATAAAATGATATAAACATATATCTTCTTTGTTACAAACGTATATATATGAGCACGAAGATAACCGAACAAGTTGATACCCATATCAACGTTTCAAAATACAAATTAATATCTTTATGTAAGTAGATACAGATGTATTGATATTAACAACCAATGATAGCCTCACTCTAAACAGATTGAACGTATTGCGAAGAATAAACCTTTTAATTGTGTTCTAACATATCAGGTTGTTCGAAAATAATGTCCAATTTTAGAATAAACCTTATAATTCTAATATATAATTATGATATTTGCGCAGAAAATATTACTTATTCCTAATGATTAAAGTGTCCTCTTTGTTAATTTTATATCAATCTCTTTCAGGATTTAATTTAAAACATTATATCTCCCTCATCTTGAACATGAAAAAAAAAAAAAGTGAAAAAAAAGGAAGAAAAGAAAAAGAGATGCATTTACTTTTTGTGAATCTGCTCAAGCATGGTCATAATTCTTCTCAAACAGCTAACGACATTATATGTGCATGGGGAAAGGCACGCGCGAACCGATTCTTAAAATTATAAAAGCTTAGCGAACCAGTTGCTGGATTATCCAAAAATAATCTTATATATTAATAGCCGATATATAACAGCTAAAAATACAATTAATCCCATTGCAGTAAGTTGTGCGGAGGCTGAAGGGTGCTTTTTTTTGTAACGTACATAATTTATTATGATAAAGAAATTGTCTTGAAGTTAAAAATATGGCAAATCTTCTCGACATAAATTTGATAGGTCTTGCATTGGATCTTTGAAACTACAGCGATTCAGTTCGAATTTAGTGAAGAAACCATAACACAGCTGATGACACTAGAGGAAAAATACATCCTACCTCTGAACAGAAATATGATGAGAATAGAATTTCAATCTGGAAATATCTTAATAATTCTGTCTATATTAGTGATAACTGACATCCATTAGACATGGCACGTGGAACTAGAACAGTCTACCCCAGTCAGCGAAATAAAGGGTTCAGTTCGACATTTCAACCACCTGAAGAAGGCCGGAGTGTACAACAGCCAAAACATTGTAATAAATATGGCGACAAATATTAGGACAATAGTCCGAATAATGTAAATAGTGTATCTTAATAAATGTTTTCTATTAAATTATCAAAATAGTTTAATTCTTTTTGATACTACAAAGTGATTTGTTTCCATTCTCAGATTGAAAAAAAAATAAGCAGAAAAGGTTCCTAATGATTACCTGCCTTTATAGAACCGATTCATGGAAATTTTGGATGCCATTATTGATGAGGGATCCAGTTGTGGTCGGACAGTAAACGGTCGGCTCAATGGCTTGATCATAACGAAGGACCCAAACATTTTCCAAAACCGAAATTGCATCAAAAGAAGATTACGGTGACTGTTGGATTGTCCGCCATTAGCGTTATCCATTATAACTTTCTGGAATCTAACCAAAGCATCACTGCCGAAGTTTACTGCCAGCAACCGGATGAAATGCACATTCAGTCAAGGAAAATCCAGCGGCACTGGATAATCAATTAAGTTCAATGAAAGTGATCGGCCATATTTGCTCAGGATGAGACTGCATAATCTCACCTATCTGGGATATGTGACTTTGTCATATTCCCCATTATTATTTTAATTTCACACCTACAGATTACCACTTTTTCAAGCAACTTCACAATTTTGTAAGCCAAAAGACATTCCGTTGCAAAGATGAATAAGCTGCATTCAAAGATTCTTTGGAGTCTAAACATTTAAAGTTTTATTATAAAGGTATAAATAATCTTGTAACTTGATGGCAGAAATGTATAGATGTTTAGGGTTCCTACTTTAACTGATTTAAATATTCTTAAGATACATTAACTCAAGAATAAAAGTTGATTCTAAAATCTCACATTATTTTCCAAGCAATCTAATATAAAATTTATGAAGAAGTGTTTTGCTAATAAGTGCTTCGTATCAACAGTTTCAATACAAATTCCAGTTTTGAAGATTTAAAATTCGAGATATCACAGAAAATAAAAATTTGTGATAACAATCTTAAGAATCTCAATATTCCTGCCTTTGTCTCCTTTACCTGTTTTTAACACATGATTTCCAGTCAAAATAACGTTTCAGAAATCAAAGGAAAATATAGACAGACTCCTTGCCGATATATTTCTCAGTCCTGTCAGAAATCGATGTTCGAGTCTAAGATTGCAAATGCTATATTTTATGCCGTCATGTCCTACCTATGTTGAAGATTGGCGCAACACACTCTTTGTCTGTCCATTCCCGAGCCATACTGAATATTGAGCTACAGCAAACAAAGCTTATTAAATATCATGATCTAAACGAAATGGTCTGCCTGATGGCCGAGATAGTTACATATATCTCGTATATATCTTTATGCTTGGAACCAGGTAAAAGCCAGAATTTTGCTGATTTTCAAAATAAGCAGCCCCCCCCTGCTCACTTGGAAGATTGACATAATAGAATTCCTTCCTAGCCACCCATTTTATATTAAGCCGTGGGAATCTAATCTTAATAACTACGAAGCAAGCGAATCAGTTATTTACCAAAAGAAGCTAAAACTGGAATTCACTTAATAAAATTAAGGAGATCACAAGCATCGCTGCCTTTTGCGTCCGAAACAAATTTCGATTTGTAAATACTGGCTCACCTAGCCTCATATTCTGAAACCATATGTTTTTAAGCTTCCTGCTCTGCATCAGATTCTACATTCACTTTCCAATGTCTAGCTAAGAAAATTCAGTGGGGCAACACAATGCAAATATTCACAATATAAAATCAATATAAAAAAACCTACAAAATAAACTGAAAATTCGAAATAGATTTATCGTTAACCTAACCAAACTTTAAAATAGTGCTCGTCAAGAATTATTCGCATCCTATCCGAAGGAAACCATATGAACAAGAAATGTTTCCAGAAGTCGAAACAAGGACATTTTTTCCTTCTACTCAGAGCTTATTGGCCACAAATATCATCTCATGGAATTTCAAATATATCCGTGAATTTTTCCAACGTCTCTTAAGTAGTTTACATTTAGGACATTATTCGTTTAATTTCTTTTCCTTTATGTACCATGTCCCCTTCAGGACATAGGCAATCATGGACCTCCAAAATTGTCTTTCTTGTGTAGGGCTTAATAAATTTTCTCTTTTTGTTATCTCTCCTAAAACTTGCCTCGCCATCAAGGTTTCTATGTAGCTTATGCCTTTGTCGCACTTCAATCTCTCCTGTGAGTATAATTTTTTCAAAACTTTTTCTTCGTTATGTGTCCTAGAAATTCCAACTGTCTTTTCCTGATGTTAAAGTTTAAAATCCGAAGGAAATCAGTCCTACCATTTTTTATTTTAATTGTCTTGAAAATTACTTTGTCACAAATTATATATATTTTTTTTATATATTATTTTATACCATGTTTTATTCAAGGAAAGCAAACGTGCATTCATAATATAACGCTAGATATAGAAATCCAAGGG